GTTTTTGCGACGAACTTTTTGCGGTACAGAACAAAAAACTGTCCTGATTCTTCCAGAGTGAACAATTGATAAGGTGACAGATAATGCAAGTACACAAGGCACTATCAATGCAGATTTTACCTTGTTTTTTAAAAAACTGTTTATGAAACAAAGAATAAATTGAGTGCGGAAAAAAATATAAACTTTTGAAGGTGTAGTTTTTGGAGGTACTGAAGACCAGTTTTGTTTATTTCAAAGATGCTGGTGAAGCACTACGTCAACTAATGTCAGTCAAATGCTACTCTTAAGAGACAGTTGAAACTATGCCAAAGACTGGGTTTGTCGCGTCAGATTCTAAAGTTTTAACGGTATCGATCAGTGATCAGTGATCTATACTGTTAAAACTTTAGAATCTGATGTGATTGAGTAACCAGCTAAGAAAAGAAAAATTTTGAAAATTAAATAAATATTAGTGTTTACAGGAGCTGCACGATCTTTTGCGGTTGTCTATGACCTTTTATTTTCAACTAAGGCCGAACTATGGCAGAATAGAATAGCATTTTACTTCGGTTTCGGTCTTTGTATATCATTTACTGCACTTCAGTTGTATAACAATGAAGCTCTTACATGTAATTCTATGAATTTTAAAGCCTGTGTTTCTCAAACTTTCTTGATTTGCCGTCCATCTCTAAGGAGAAGCATTTGTCGCGACCCTTTATCAAAATGACATTCGACCGAGGCCTACAATTAAGAAGAAACCAACAGTCTTCAAAAACTATCAAAAGTGGTTTTTGAAAGTAGTGAAAGAAAAACTATCATCAAACAAGAATTGCAAAGTTCAGAACACTTTTAACAGACGGTGTTAATTGGAAGTTTTTAGTGGCAAAACTCATCTTTATCAAAAAGAAATAAAAAAAGCAAGAAAATTTTTCGCGTTTACGTCACTTCTCGTTATAAATGACCAAAACTGCTGTCACTAATCTTGCCAACCATCATTGCATTTCAAACTTTAGTCTGTACCCATTTTCAGCACTTTCTATTCTTCTTCGCTTCTGTTCGAGATTTATCAGGCAATTTCTGAAAACAGTTTCCTTCTAAAAAACCAAAATTATGCTCCGAACTAATCACAGAACTAAGCATCAAATAAATGCCGAAACAATTACAATAATAAATAAATTTTTCAGTGTTAACGAAGAAAAAAAAAAGATGGGTTAAACAAATAATTAAGATCTAAAAATGTTAAAAAAACCCTCAGCAAAATTACCTAAGAACAAACAACCAGTTAAAGAAAGTTGTTTGAAGGATCTTTTGGTCACAATAATTTCAATAAACATATACATTTCACAAATCAAAAAATTTTTGACCGATTTGTTTACCAACTGTGACTTTTTATTTTTTGTTCTACACCAACAAAGTCTAATAAATTTAAGAAAAATTTGTTTTCTTGACGACTATTTCTGTATGTTTCGAGATATTACCGTGTATAATAAAGAAAACTAAACATGAATATGTGATCGTGGTATCGAGTAAAAATTACTGCAAAAAGCTTTTAAAGCTTCTCAAAATCTTTGTCAATTCAGCGATTTTTCATTTTGAAATGATTTTTTGCAAATTTACAAATTTATTTGAGTTGCAAATTTCTTAAAGCAAGTATGGCTTTTTTACTATTACTGGAATAAAACTGGTAGGCAAAGCGTATATTAGAGGTAGTAAAACTAAAAATGACTGTAGTTTTTTTTGCAAAGTCGTTCAAAAAAAAATTTAGAAAAAAAAATCTGAAAAGCCTTGTAAATAGTACAACTGGTAGACGCTATGACATACAAAAACACTAAAATTTTAAAGTAAATATTACCGCAATGTTGATAGATTTTTTTTTCTTTTTTTAAAAGAAAATTATTTTCAAAAAAACTCAAGTCATTTTTTTATATGATTGGTTTTGTCATTATATTTTCAAATATTGATAAGTCTGATCCAAATAGGTCTTTTTAACTTCTCTCAAACAGTTGTGCAATCATCAGTGATAATGACTGGTAATGGCACTTACTTTAGTGATCCAAATATTTAAAATAGCGACTATATTGAGATGCATATTAGTAGAACAGAGGTCAAATGATTCAAAGATTAGCTGTGAATATTGGTAGGTCAAATTGTGATTACCGAATAATAATGCTCATAGTTTGACACAGTTTATTGAGTATAGTCTACAGTTTTGATTGAACAATGGCATATTCAAAATTTGTGATGCATAATTTACAACGAACAAAAGTAATCAAAAAAAAAAAAAAATAATAATATAAGAAATTTTTTTAAAACAAGATAACAGCAAATAGTAACCTACAATCCGAATGTTTTGAACCAATTTATAAGTTACACAAAGATATGTAACCAGTTTTGTGTGAAAATTTCACCAAAGAGGTGTTAAACAAAGCAATTATTTTTATCCTCTTTTTAAGTGCGGCAAAGATAAGTCTCAGAACTGTGTTTCTCATTTTATTGAGAGTTCACTAAATCAATAGAGCTGAAAGCACGACAATTCTATACATTCTTTAGAGTCTTTATATTACATTTCTGCATTTTACCGTCCGCTCTCTTTTCATGAACAGAAGTCAATTTTGGAACCAGATACCCTCTACAAAAAAAAAAAAATAATTTTCGGACTTCCTAAAGTTTTTTCTTTTTTTCTATTCACCTTAGCGTTCATATAATAAATCGACACCAAATCTATAAAACTAAAAAGCAAAAAAAATTCAATATCGAAAAGATAGTAAAGTAAGACAATAACATAAAATAAAATGAAATAAAAGAAAGAGAAAAACTAGGCGATTGATCCGTCGTTGGACATCATTTATTAATACACCAGAAAGAAACTGGACATAAACTTTGCGGAGGGCTCTCTAATAAGTGAAGAACTGCAATAGTGCATAATATACAAAAAAGGAATGACTACAAAAAAATTATATAGTTTATAAGATAAGAGTTGAAAAAAAAAACTATATCATTCTGGTCGAATTAGACATTGAGGTCATAAATATCAGTTTGAGGCCTTTGCATAAGCAAACTTCCGTATTTGTTAAATACAAAAAAATTGCTGCATCATTTACAGGGCATTTGTTTCATAGAATAATAGTAAACAAAATTTTTTTGAAAAAACGAAAATTCCTGTAAATCTCATTGCATAATTATCACTGTTACATTGTGCTGTATTTTAAAGTAAATTGAAGTTCATTGATGTGTACGATGTTTTGAAAAGACAAATCTGCATTTTGCTTGACGGTTTGTTCACACACATAATGGCTGGCATACTTTGGCGATTTTACTCAATGGTACCATAAAAGAGATGTTAAAAACAAAGTCGTTTAAAACTGTTCGTTTTTTCTTTTCTTTTTGATTGCCAAAGTCACAAAAGCAGTCATAGCAGTTATTCGTTCGTATGCTGACAGAAACTCATTGTCACCAACGCCGACAAAGTTACAAGCTAAAAGTTCCAATTGTGAAAAAAAATTTACTGCTATGCTTACAAAGAAACGTCTCACACAGAGACCAAAAAAAAAAAAACAAAATTAAGCTAATCAGTTTTATAATAGTATCAAGAAAACCATTCAAGTTTTTTTTTTGGAAAAACACTTTGCATAAATTATTCACTAACAACAGCTTTTTGACCCCTATACTAGCAAGTGTTAAACTCTTAAAACAGTTGTTTTAGCTTATCTGCAATATCATAGTAATAAATACAGTAATAGTAGTTGCTGAACAAATTCATAAACCTTACTGCTTAAATTAACTGAGACGTGAAAAGTATAATAATGGATTATCTCTCAAAAAGTGCGCAAAAAGAAAAGTAAAATATAATAAAATAAAAAGTTTATTGAAATCAAAGAAAATCACCGCAATAAAACCATCAAATCTTCAAATACTTACATTTGACGAATATTCAACAAGCAAATAGAAAACAATCCTTTATGCTCACCAAAAACTTCCTCATTTAAAGAGCCGCAAAAAAAAAAAGAAACACTCTTAATAAAAAAAAGTCTTATAAAAGACGTTTATTTAAAGTGCTTGACAGATCTAAGAAACTAATACCGGTCCCCTGAATATCCTGAACAATGTTGCGGAAGACGTATAAAAGAGGAGATGGTTTTGGATAGCACAACGATACAGCAATTTATTAACATTAAACTAAAAATGTGCAAAATTGATACTCTTACCGTTGCCTTGCTCTTGACCATTTTTGGTTTATCCATGGTAAGAAATGTTTTCAATAATTCAAATACTGTTTTTTGTTATTCTAATCTAAAATAAAAGTAACCAAAAATTGATCTTGTTTTTCTTCTCAATCAACAATTCTTTTAGTTCACCAGTTTTGCTCAAGATTTGAAATCAAACACCAGAGTTTAAAATATTTCAAAAAATCTTGTATGAAATAT